CTCTCGGAGGTCTCTGGAGGCCTCTCCCGCTCTTGGGCCCATATTGGGCCTGTTCTGGGGTGGTCTGGAGCTGTCCTGGGCGCCTCTCCGGCAATCTTGGGGCCTTCTTGGCCTGTCTTGGAGCCGACGATTTTAGGTTCTCCGGGCGCTCTCGGGAGGCCTCTCGGAGCACTCTTGAGGTCTCTTGGAGGCCTCCTGGGAGCCTGGAGAACCGCCCGAAAGCTATCCTTGGCTACTTGTGAACGATTCTGGCAGTTCTTTTACGTTCTGGGGGCTTCTTGGGATCGTCTTGGGCTGTCCTTGGGTGGGACCCCCGGGAGGAGGGGGGGCGTATTTGTTGTTGTGTATATATAATACAAAAACATGGAATTCAGTGTTGTTCCACATTCCTTAGTCTTGGAGCGTTGGAAGCGGGAAAACGTAAGAAGGAGAAAAACGTCGACACATCGGAAGGTGTGGCAACCCCACTTGCGCTCGAGTGCGACCTCGCTATTGCATGTTGTTGTTACTGTATGAGCCTAAGCGAACACACGTATCACGCGTTTATCTCTAATTTAAACCTGGTATTCCTTGTTTTTCCACATTACTTGGTCTTGGAGCGTTGGAAGCGGGGAAACGTGAGAAGGCGAAAAACGTCGACACATAACCATTGTAAATCAAAGATGTTACCCTCTTCGGGCTCTCTCGGGACGGCTCTTGAAGCTCTCTTGGGCTGGTTTTGGGGCCTCGTCGGGGCATTTCTGATGGCCTCTCAAAGAGTCTGGGGTGTGTTGGGGGCCTCTGGGCGGTCCCGGAATCCTCTCGGAGGTCTCTGGAGGCCTCCTGCTCCCGCTCTTGGGCTCATCGTGGGCCTGTTCTGGGGTGGTCTGGAGCTGTCCAGGGCGCCTCTTCGGCAGTCTTGGGGCCGTCTTTGCCCGTCTTGGAGCCGTCTTGGGGGCCACTTGGGCGGTCTTGGGGCGATCTTGGAGGCCTCTTCGGCCGTGTTGGAGCGTTGGAAGCATGAAATGGTGAGAATGCCCAAAAAACAGTGTCTCTCTCTCTCATTTTTTTTTTTTCTCTCTCTCTCTCTCTCTCTCTCTCTCTCTCTCTCTCTTTGAGGTTCTCCAGACGCTCTCGGGAGGCCTCTCGGAGCACTCTTGAGGTCTCTGGGGGGCCACCTGGGAGCCTGGAGAACCGCCCGAAAGCTATATTTGGCTGCTTGGGAACGACTTTGGCAGTTTTTTTACGTTCTGGGGGCTTCTTGGGGTCGTCTTGGGCTGTCCTTGGGCGTTTTGGGGGCTCCCCGGGAGGTCGGGGAGCGCGGTACCAGGAGCGTTCCGCAGATGTTCTGGGAAGGTGTGGGACCCCCTGGAGGAGGGGGGGCGTATTTGTCGAATTTATGTATGTATATATATATATATATGGAATTCCTTGTGTTCCATATTCCTTGGTCTTGGAGCGTTGGAAGTGGGAAAACGTGAGAAGGCGAAAAACGTCGACACATATTCATTGGAAATCAACAATGTTGCCCTCCTCGGGCTCTCTCGGGACGGCTCTTGAACTCTTGAAGCTCTCTTGGGCTGTTTTGGGGGCCTCGTCGGGGCATTTTTGGTGGCCTCTCAAGGGTCTGGGGTGTGTTGGGACCCTCTGGGCGGTCCCGGAATCCTCTCGGACGTCTCTGGAGGCCTCCTGCTCCCGCTCTTGGGCTCATCTTGGGCCTGTTTTGGGGTGGTCTGGAGCTGTTCGGCTGACTTGGGGCTGTCTTTGCCCGTCTTGGAACCGTCTTGGGGGCCGCTTGGGCGGTCTTGGGGCGATCTTGGGGGCCTCTTCGGCCGTGTTAGAGCGTTGGAAGCATGAAATGGTGAGAATGGAACTTATCACGTCTTTATAGTTAAACTGTACATATATATCATATATATATATATATATATATATATATATATATATATATATATATAATATATATATATATATATATATATACGATGTAAGGTTCTCCGGGCGCTCTCGGGAGACCTCTCGGAGCACTCTTGAGGTCTCTTGGAGGCCTCCTGGGAGCCTGGAGAACCGCCCGAAAGCTATCCTTGGCTGCTTGGGAACGACTTTGGCAGTTCTTTTACGTTCTGGGGGCTTCTTGGGGTCGTCTTGGGTTGTCCTTGGGCGTTTGGGGGCTCCCCGGGAGGTCGGGAAGCGCGGTACCGGGAGCGTTCCGCAGATGTTCTGGGAAGGAATGGGACCCCCGGGAGGAGGGGGGGCGCATTTGTTGTTCTCATACGCACCTCTCCGAGGGAGTGCAGGTCAGAGACGATTCACGCGAACGCGCCGCGTCGTTCGCGATTTTCTGGCCGTTTCGCTCGGGACATCCTCGACATTCAGAAAATCGCTGGCACCCCTCACACAGATCGTGACGTCAGGGTCCAAAAACAAATAGGAATTTCAACATTCTAATATAAAACCGTCAAAAAAACACATTGTCTTTTCAAGGATTTTGACCCCGATTCTCAGAGAATGGCGGTTTCGCCTGAGACATCCTCCCAAAATCGAGCCCCGACGTACCTTCTGGTACCCCAGACCCCGCCTCGGAGCCTCCTAGGGGCCTCCTGGAACCTCCTGGGGCCTCCCGAGGCTTTCTGTACCTTCTGGTACCCCAGACCCCGCATCGCAGCCTCCCGGGGGGGTCCTGGAACCTCCTGGGGCCTCCTGAGGCTTTCTGTGCCTTCTGGTACCCCAGACCCCGCCTCGCAGCCTCCTGGGGGTCTCCTGGAACCTCCTGGGGCCTCCTGCGGCCTCCTGGAGCCTTTTGGGACCTCCTGGAGCCTCCTGGGGTCTCCTGGGGCCTCCTGAGGCCGCCTGGGGCCTCCTGGGGCCTCCTGGGGCCTCACAACTACATGCACACACAGAGACACAAATCACACCCAACACATCACACGCTAGACAAACATAACACACACACACACACACACACACACACACACACACAACACCTACAACGCACAGAAAACACGCACAACACAGAGCACACATCACACACACACACACACACACACCCACACAACACTCACAATCCTGGAGCCTCCTGGCGCCTCTTCCGGTATCCAAGTCGGGCCTCCTGAGGCTTCCTGGGGGGCCCTGGTACGTACATCGGAAGGTGTGGCAACCCCACTTGCGCTCGAGTACGACCTCGCTATTGCATGTTGCTGTTATTGTATGAGCCTAAGCGAACACACGTGCCCCGTGTTTATCTCTAACTTAAACATGGTATTCCTTGTTTTTCCACATTACTTGGTCTTGGAGCGTTGGAAGCGGGGAAACGTGAGAAGGCGAAAAACGTCGACACATAACCATTGTAAATCAAAGATGTTACCCTCTTCGGGCTCTCTCGGGACGGCTCTTGAAGCTCTCTTGGGCTGGTTTTGGGGCCTCGTCGGGGCATTTTTGGTGGCCTCTCAAAGAGTCTGGGGTGTGTTGGGGGCCTCTGGGCGGTCCCGGAATCCTCTCGGAGGTCTCTGGAGGCCTCCTGCTCCCGCTCTTGGGCTCATCTTGGGCCTGTTCTGGGGTGGTCTGGAGCTGTCCTGGGCGCCTCTTCGGCAGTCTTGGGGCCGTCTTTGCCCGTCTTGGAGCCGTCTTGGAGGCCACTTGGGCGGTCTTGGGGCGATCTTGGGGGCCTCTTCGGCCGTGTTGGAGCGTTGGAAGCGTGAAATGGTGAGAAGGCCAAACCCCCCTCCTCAAAAAAACGACTTTAGGTTCTCCGGGCGCTCTCGGGAGACCTCTCGGAGCACTCTTGAAGTCTCTTGGAGGCCTCCTGGGAGCCTGGAGAGCCGCCCGAAAGCTATCCTGGGTTGCTTGGGAGCATATTGGGCCTTTCTTTTACGTTCTGGGGGCTTCTTGGGGTCGTCTTGGGCTGTCTTTGGGCATTTGGGGGGCTCCCCGGGAGGCCGGGAAGCGCGGTACCGGGAGCGTAGCCCAGATGTGGTTGAGGTGGAGGATGCCCCGGGAGGGGGCCTGGCCTATTTCATATATATATATATATATATATATATGTATATACAAGTGGCACGTGTGTGCCCAGGCTCATACAACAAGCTGAAGGGGCGTTTGAAGCAGGAGTGACATGCAACAGCGAAGTCGCACTCGAGCGCAAGTGGGGTTGCCACACCTTGCGATGTGTGTACCAGGGCCCCCCAGGAAGCCTCAGGAGGCCCGACTTGGATACCAGAAGAGGCTCCAGGAGGCCCCAGGATTGTGAGTGTTGTGTGTGTGTGTGTGTGTGATGTGTGCTTTGTGTGGTGCGTGCTTTTTGTGTGTTGTCGGTGTTGTGTGTGTATGTTATGTTTGTCTAGCGTGTGATGTGTTGGGCGTGATTTGTGTCTCTGTGTGTGCATGTAGTTCTGAAGCCCCAGGAGGCCCCAGGAGGCCCCAGGCGGCCTCAGCAGGCCCAGGAGAACTCCAGGAGGCTCCGAGGCGGGGTCTGGGGTACCAGAAGGTCCAGAAAGCCCCAGGAGGCCCCAGGAGGTTCCAGGAGGCCCCCAGGAGGCTCCGAGGAGGGGTCTGGGGCTCGATTTTGGAAGGATGTCTCAGGCGAAACCGCCATTCTCTGAGAATCGGGGTCAAAATTACTGAAAATTATGTTAACATGTTGAAATTCCAATGTGTTTTTGGACCCTGACGTCACGATCTGCGTGAGGGGTGCCACCGATTTTCAGAATTTCGAGGATGTCCCGAGCGAAACGGCCAGAAAAATCGCGGACGACGTGCGCATTCATCGGCTCTGAGCTCTACTCCCTCGGAGAGGTGCGTATGAGAATATATATATATATATATATATATATATATATATATATTATATATATATTAAGCATAAAACATATGCATAGAGAGAGAGGTTCGCGATGGAATTGTTGTATTATTGTCCCTCTCTTTTTTACAAAAAGAATGCTTGAATTCCAAGGCTGCTTCCACAGCCCAGCCGGTCCCTTCCCCTGCGCGCGGCGGAGGCTCCGCCCACGGTGCCCGGCCCCGGCCTGGGCTGGCTGGCGAGGTGAGTTCCTGGCTAGCCGCCTGGCGGGGGAGGGGGGGGGGGGGGGCAACCGTCGGCCGCCTGTAGGGCCACGCTGGCCGGCCGCGGTCACCTGGGCACCAGGCGGGCTGCCGCCCTCCTGCATTTCCACTTCTCTCGGGGGAAACGAAAAGGGGGGGGATAGCAAAGGGCAGGGTAGAGAATCAGCTCACGTAGCTAATTTTCCCAGCGCCTCCCGGCGCCGGGAGGCGGCTATGTATCGAGGAATGGGCCCGGCGGCGGGGCTGTTGAAACCAGCTGCATGCAGCAAATTTCGTAACCCCCCCTTTCCCTATCCCTCCCTTTCGTTTGGCCCGGTTCTCTGACAGGGCCCCAAAGACAAACAACAGATAAATAGACACAGACCCCAAGATTCCCCATCTCTTCCCATGTTTTCTGGAGTTCGTCTCTTCCCCCCCACTTCCCGTGTGTTTCCAATTTTTTCCTGGGGATCAACGATTGTGTGTGCCTGTGTGTGCTTCCCCCTGCCGATTCTCTCCCCCGGCCCCCGCTACGCTCCTCTGTCGACGAAAGATGCTGTATGATGGGCCTGTTTCCACCAATGAAAGGAGGAGGGGGACGAGGAGGAGGAGGAGGACGAAGAGGAGGAGGAGGAGGTGGAGGATGTGGACCCCCTTCCCCTCCAACTTATGGTGGTGGTGGAAAACAGGCCCATCACTGTAGAGGCCTCGAGGGCTGAAGCGGGCGAGCAGCCAAACGGTGCAGACATGAAGCTGCTGGCCGGAGGAGGGAGAGGCGAGGCGAGACGCTGCAGTGCGCACCGGGGCGCCGCCCTATGGAGAGCGCAGCCGGGGGTGGGCGTAGCCCCTCAGATGTCGATGGAATTACTAGAGGGCAGAAAATCCACCCCGATTTTAACCACCCCGACATGCGAAGCCGTTTAGTAAACGCACCCAAAGAAGGAATCAAACAGGGCAGGGCTGTTTAGTAAACGCCCATGGCCGTTTAGTAAACGCCAATTGTCCGGTCCGGGTGTTTTTTCCTCCTTTGAATTACCGCGCTCAGGATCTCAGGAGGCAACTACCTCGATGGCAGAGGATCTCAGGATCTGAGGATCGCAGATGTCGATGGAATTACCTCGCTGATGTCGGGGGTCAGCGTTCTCCCAGAGGTCAAACGAAATTACCTCGCAGAGGATCGGGAGAAGGATGCGACTGGCAATAGCACTCGGGGCTCGAACTCCGTGGGCTCACCTCAGCTCTGTTTTGTCGACCTCTCGGGGCTTTTCCCGTACCCTCACCCTCCAGCAGAAGCCCCATCGGATTGCCACATGCCGGGCTGGAGGGGAGGGGAGGGGAGGGAGGGGGAGAAGCGAGGGGGGGTGGGGGGGAGGGAGGGGGGAGGGAGTGCGAGGGAGGCTGGCGAGGACGAGGAGGAAGAGGAGAGGGAGGCCGGCGGAGGGCGGAGAGCTGCAGCAGCGAGCGGGGAGCGGAGCAGAGCACCGCTCGGACGGTCGCCCGCGCGGCGCCCGCAGCCCACCGGAAGGCCGGCGCACCGCGGAGGGCCCCGTGAGAGGCCCGCCCTTGGGCGCGCCGGGGGGGCCCTGCAGAGCGCGGCCCCTGCGCGCTGCGCGGCCAGGAGTCGACCAGCGGCACCCATTCGGGTCGGGCGAACGGGGGGGATAGCAGAGGGGGGGGGATGAGAATCAGCTCGCGTATAGCCGATTTTCCTGGCGCCTCCCGGCGCCGGAGACGGCCATGTATCGAGGAATGGGCCCCTCGGTGAGGCCGAAACCAGCTGCATGCAGCAGATTTCGTAACCCCCCCTTTCCCAATCCCCCCCTTTCGTTCGGCCCGACCCATGGAGGTATACGGTGTGGGCAGCGGATAAGGAACCCTGGATCGGGAATACAACGTGGATCGGCCATGGATATCGCCGCCGCCCTCATTGGATAAGGGATCCTCCAGGGTCTGGCGCCTCCTGGGACGAGTACGAACAACGCCTCCACCGCACAGTCATCGTGCGACCTTAGGAGGCAACTACTGGGAGGTCTTCGCCGGAGGAGTGAAGGAGATTCAAACCCCATTTGGAAGGCTGCCACGCCAATTAAGCCGCGGACTCAGCGAGAGTAGGCCGGATTGAGCGGGATGAAAGACTGTACCCATCGGTCGGAAGAAGTAGGTAGAAACATGAAGTAGGAAGGCGTGTGGAAAATAGTTCCGTCCGCCCGCCCCTTGGGAGGACGGAAAGAGTGCGGTCACTCGATCATTGAAGTAGGAAGGCGCTTAAAGTAGATTGGAATCTGGAAATCCAAAAATACCTACTTCCAACGACCGACGGGTAAGAGTGACCTTTCGCCGGAGTGACCTCTGGTGCAGACCAAAATGGGGTCCCCCGATCGCTGCGCGTGAAGCGGTGGCAGCGGCTTGCGCGCCCGGGTTTGGCCACCCCGCGTCCCCAGTGAAGTCGCGCACCAAAGGTCACTCTTGCATAGTATCACTTTTACGTGTAGCCTTAGGTCGGGCATGCCCCCCTACAGGCGCGGATTTTGGACGAACAACAAATAATCAAAGAATTTTCAAAAATAGCCCGAAAATAATCAACAAATCGTCCCCAGACTGTGTTTGGGACTCTTTTTTGAATCTTCCTCCTGTAGAAGAACAAGCCCGACTTTTCAAGTGCAGCCGTAAGGCGGGGCGGACCGAGGCGCTGCCGCGACGCTGTGGCCGACGAGAGGGCCCTCTCTGGCGGCCACCCCGCCCGGCGCCCTGGCGGAGCCGCAGCGGCGACTCCGCAGGGTGTGGTTTGCAAAGGGTGTGGCTTGCACTCGGCACCCTGGGGGGGGCACCCTCCTCCTCCTCCTCCTCCTCCTCCTCCTCCTCCCCCTCCTCCCCTCCCCCTCCCCTCCTCCTCCTCCTCCTCCTCCTCCTCCTCCTCCTCCTCCTCCTCCTCCTCCTCCTCCTCCTCCTCCTCCTCCTCCTCCTCCCTCTCCTCCTCCTCCTCCTCCTCCTCCTCCTCCTCCTCCTCCTCCTCCTCCTCCTCCTCCTCCTCCTCCTCCTCCTCCTTCTGGGGGGCGGGCGGGGACCTCGACAGAGCTCTCCGCCGCACCCCGAAAGAGGCCCGACGAGCGTCGTGCCCCCCGGGCCCCAGCGGCGCCGATCGCAGACCATGAGTACCGCTTCCCAGGACCCGACACGTGAAAACCCTCCAAGTTTCGGTACTATCTTGGTGCTCGAAACTCTTTCTGGTGATCAAAAGCACAATAGGTTGGAACATCGTAAGCCCTGTGACCCTCACAAAAGCCTGGCTCAGACGATGACGCAGAGAGATGGGGTCCGGGACGGCGATCGCAGTATTTTGCGATGTTCAATTTCTTGCGCAACGTCGGATGTAGGGGGCCCTCGACCCCGACCCAGGGTGGGGGGTATGTGCCGCGAAGGGGTTGGTACCCCCTGGGGCGAGGGAGGATGAAGAGAGGGGAGGAGAGCAGAGGATGAGCAGAAGAGGGCCATTGAGGAGGGGGAGGAGGAGGAGGAGGAGGACCAGAAGGAGGAGGAGGGGGGGGAGGAGGAGGAGGAGGAGGAGGAGGGAGAGGAGGAGGAGGAGGAGAGGAGGAGGAGGAGAGGAGCAGGAGGAGGAGGGGTGGAGAAGGAGGGGCACTGAGGAGGAGAAGGAGGAGGAGAAGGAGAAGGGGAGGAGGAGGGGCAGTGAGGAGGAGGAACAGGAGGAGGAGGAGGAGGAGGAGGAGGAGGAGGAGGAAAGCCGTTGAGGAGAAGGAGAAGGAGGAGGAGAAGGAAGAGGAGGAAGTGGGAAAGGAGAAGGGGTGGAGCCCAAACCATCCGCGGCCGCCCACGCCCTCCTGTGGGGGTCGGGACCCACGGGGGGCAACCCGCCGTGAGCCCTTGGGTTTGTCGCGCCTGACCCCGCGGCCCGCCCCGCTCCAGATCCTGGCCCGCTTGTGTAAGCCCTAGGGACCGAAAACGGCTCCTGTCAGGGGGACGTAAGACCTGGGTACAGGGGACTCGGAAATCCCCGACGAGGTCGTCAAAAAAATGACGAGGGCGAGCCTGCATTTTGACGAGGCCTCCCGCTTCAGACATCCCACGAAACTCCTCCTCGTCAAAATCCGAGGCGCGGTCGTCAAAAAACGATGGCGAACCCGAGTCCTGGCAAACCCGGGTCTTACGCTCCCCCGATCCTGGGGGTTAGGTCGGGTATGTCCCCCTACAGGCCGATTAGGGACGAAAAACAAAAAATCAATACATGCTGAAAAAAGGGTTCAGAAATAATACTAAAAGATCGTCCCCAGACTATCAATTCTGACTATCTTGGAATATTCCCTCCTGTAAAAGGAATGCGCCGACTGAACCCGAGTGCCGAAATCCAGAAAAAACCGCCGGCTGCAAACAAGTCATGTCCTCGTAGATCCGTTGGGCGTCGCTGAATATGGGGGGGCATGGATGGTGGGGGGAGGGGGCGGGGGGAGAAAGGTGCACTTCTCGGGCCCTGGATGCCCCTTTTTAGACACTAAAGGGCCCCTTCAGGGGACCTGAAGGGCTCCTTTTCTGCAGCCCTCGCTTCATGTTGCCCCCATCGTACTTAAGGACCACATCCCAGAGATAATTTCGAACACCAAATAAGGTTCGAGACAGTGTCTGGCCGACACGCTAGCGAAATGTCGAACGAGTATCGCCTCCCAGGGCCCGACACGTGAGAATCCTCCAGTGTCTGTACCTTCTTGGTGCTCGAGGTTCTTCCTGGTGATCCAAGCTAAAGTAGGTTGGAACATCAAAACCCTCGATTTAGGTCGGGCATGTCCTCCTACATGGGGATTTTGACGAAGTATAAGAAATAGTCAACAGAAAAACCTTCCTAATAATCAAAAAGTAGACAAGACATTTTCCCCTGACTATTCTGGACTCTTTCTCAGTATTTCTCCTGTAGAGGGACAGGCCCGACTTAACCCTCGCTGCCCCCCCATTTGTCTCCTCCCCAGCGCGCGACGCCAACATCTGGGTCCGACGCATGCATCCAGGAGGCGCCGGACCCACCTGGCGGCACCACTTGCCCGAGTGGTCGGCTCCGCCGACCAGTGGCGGAGGTGTCGGGATGCCACCCCCCACAGTCGGTCCTCCTCGTCTTCATCCATCGTCCTCGTCGTCGTCGTCATCCTCCTCCTCCTCCTCCTCCGCCTCCTCCTCCTCCGCCTTCTCCTCCTCCTCCTCCTCCTCCTCCTCCTCCCACCTCCCTCCGCCTCCTCCTCCTCCGCCTCCTCCTCCTCGTCCTCCTCCTCACCCTCCCCCTCCTCCTCCTCCTCCCTCTCCTCCTCCTCCTCCTCCTCTCCTCCTCCTCCTCCTCCTCGTCCTCGTCCTCTCCTCCTCTCCTCCTCCTCCTCCTCCTCCTCCTTCCTCCTCCTCCTCCTCCTCCTCCTCCTCCTCCTCTCCTCCCACCTCCTCCTCCTCCTCCTCCTCCTCCTCCTCCTCCTCCTCCTCCTCCTCCTCCTCCTCCTCCTCCTCTCCTCCTCCTCCTCCTCCTCCTCCTCCTCCTCCTCCTCCTCCTCCTCCTCCCACCTCTCTCCCCTGCACTCCCCCCCCAGTCGGCGAGGGCGCTACGCTCCGCGCGGGAGAGGCGCGGGGGGGGGGGGGGAAAGAGGAGGGCCAGGGCCCTCAGAGTTTGGCGTTGCAATGTTTTCACAACGGGCGTTTTCGCCTGGCTTCGGGGCCTGGCAGAAAATCCACCCGGATAATAACCTCCCCGACACGCGAAGCCATTTAGTAAGCGCACCCCAAGAAGGAATCGAACAGGGCAGGGCCGTTTAGTAAACCCCGGGGCCGTTTAGTAAACGCAAATTGTCCGATCTGGGTGGTTTTCCTCCCTTGGCTCACAGATCAATCCAACTCGAAAAATGGCGCAGAAAGATTGGGTCAGGGGCTCCGGTCGCGGTTTGTTTTGCGATGCTGCCATTTTTTGCCAACGTCGGATGTGAGGGGCGGGGGAAGGAAGGAAGGAAGGAAGGGCAGGAGAGCCCAGAATCGAATCGACAAGTCGGATCGGCGATCGAAATGAATCGGATTTTAGGAAATCGGCAGCCACGTCGGGAGAAGTCGAATCGGCAGAAATCGGCAGGCTAGTAGGCCTCCATTGAGGAATCGGGATCCAGATCGGAACCCGAGGTCGAATCGAATCGGAATCGGAGGCCATCGAAATCGAATCGAATCGAATCGGAGGAACCGAAACGAGCCATGGGGGGATCAGGGCAAGCTGGGTGCGCTCGCGCCTATCTGACATCCTACCTTTTCCCACCCATCCCGTCCCACTGTGTTGAGTTGTATCCCGATCCTTAGGTCGGGCATGTCCCCCTACAGGGGGATTTTGGAGGAAAAATAAGCAATACTCCAAAACTCTTCAAACATAATCGAACATGGCCGAAACATCGTCCCCAGACTATGGTTTGACTATTTCTTATATATTCCTCCTGTAGAGGGACAGGCCCGACTTAACCCTATCCGCCGACGGGTGCCGTGTGGCGGACCCGCAATCCGAAGAGGGGAGCTGTGTAAATGGGAGGAGGAGGAGGAGGAGGAGGACGAGGATGAGGATGGGGGTGAGGATGAGGATGACGGAGGCGGGAGACGATGAGGAACAGTAGCAGCAGGAGCAGGAGTAGGAGGAGCGGGAGGAGCAGGATGACCATGAGAAGGCGAAGGAGGGGAAATGAGCGGGGCGACAACGACGAGGAAGAACTCGGATCCACAACTGAGGCACGCGCTGGGGCGAGAGCACCATACTGAACGACAGGAGCAAAGCGTCGATCCTCAAGTGAGGCCGCCGCTGCGGCGGGAACACCACATCAAAATCCCGAAAACGCGCCGACCGAAACTGATACAGTAAACACCACCTCCTACAAAGTCCTCTGCACCCCAAAAACGACACGCGGGAGGAGAGCGGCCCCGCTCCGACAGGGTCCGGGGAAAGAGGAGCGCGGTACTCGTACGGAGCAACGGTGGACAAGGGCAGGGAGGAGGAGGAGGAGGAGGAGGAGGGGAGGAGGAGGAAAGGAGGAGGAGGAGGAGGAGGAGGGGAGAAAGAAGGAGGAGGAGGAGGAGGAGGAGGAGGAAGGAGGAGGAGGAGGAGGAGGAAAGAGGAAAACGAGGAGGGTGGGGGGAAAGCGGAGGAGGAGGCTTTACGGTCCGGACATTTTGCCTAGCGCGTCGCGGCGGCGGCCCCGGCGACACGCCGTGCCCTGCCAGCGGATAGCGTGTCGCTCCGCTCCGCGGGCGGGAAGGCCGGGAGAGGCTCAGGGCGCGGGCGGCTGGGGGTCGGGACGCGGACAGCGCGTCGCGCCGAAGCGTGGTGGCCCAGAGCCAGCGGGGCGACACGCCAGGCGAGGAGGAGGGAGGGAGGGGAGAGGAGAGGAGAGGAGAGGAGAGGAGAGGAGAGGAGAGGAGAGGAGAGGAGAGGAGAGGAGAGGAGAGGAGAGGAGAGGAGAGGAGGGAGGACGAGGGAGGGAGGGAGGAAGCGAGGGGGGAGGAGGGAGGCAGGGAGGGATGGAGGGGGGAGAAGGGAGGGAGGGGAGGGGAGGGAGGGAGAGGAGAACCGTTTTGGCCATTTGACCGAGCTCTGTCGCGCGGGGGGGAAGAGGAGAGGGAGAGGAAGGCAAAACCCCGTACGAGGGTGCTGTGGTGCAGGCGGAACCCCGCCTCACCGCCACACCCCCGCAACCGCTACTGGCCAGCTTGCCCTCCGCAGGAGGGCCAACTACCCAGCAGCGGCGGACCGTCCTCCGTGCCCTCCCTGGGGCCCAGCGGCCCTCTCCTACGCTCTCGCCAGGCTTCCGAGATCACGCGCATCGAGGGCTGCCTGCAGGGCCTTCGGTGCCCCTTGTCTGCGGGGGTACCTGTCCTCCTCGATGCGGCTCATATTCTCTCGGCCCTTTTCGGGACATGCCCTCACACTCGGCCGCCAAGCGGCGCCCATCCACCGCGGCATGCTTGCCACAGGTGGTGCTAAAACTCATGAGGAACCGTTCCCATCTGTGGACGGTGTGGGAGGGGTGCACTTCCCGCCCCGCCGCCAACCCACCGCCTCCCGCCCCCACCGCACAGACAGGGAGGCCTCGGCAACTGGGTCTTGGCAGCCCCGACGAGGCGAGAAGCTGGCACCACAACATCGCACGCGCTGCACCTCCATGCGCCTTCGCTCTGCTCGGAACAATGGCTAGAGGCTTGCAGCGCGAGCTTCCTTCCCGACGGGGGCGCCCTCCGCTGGACACAGGCCCGAGCCCCACTCCAAGGGTCGGCCCCAGCCGCCAGAGCCAACGCGCGCCTCGCGCGCGCTCGAACCAGGGTGCCGATCGCATCCCAGTGGTCAGTCTGAGGCTCACCCCCTTTCCACCGACACCGCCCACCCTCTCCCCGCCGCCGCCCCCGCCTCTTCATCAGCCAGGGCGTTGCCCTGAATTGGGTAGGGATCGATCGGTTCGCTTGGAGAGGTGGCTTCGTCCATGTGAGTCGGCCGAGTCTGGAGGGCAACCCGAATTCGAGACCACAAATCTTGGTTGGCTCCGTTTTTCTGAAACTGCCGACCCCGCCCCCAAGCTTTCATGAGGGGCTCGTGGTCAATCACCAACAGAAAACGCACAGGGACATGTTCTAACGCGATGGCGAACGCGAGCAGCTCAGCACGAGGGACCGTTTGCCGTTGGCTCCCGACAGGGGTCGATAACCCCCACGCAAGCCTCCAGCCCCTTTGGCCGTCTGGCTGCATGGCGATCACCGCGGTGCCACACCTACGCCTACGTGGGTCCGCACTGTGGGTCCCCCCGATCCGTCACCGAAAACCACCACAATCCCGAACGTGGTGTGCGGCTCAACCTCGGAAATCGCCTGAGCCTGCTGCCTGATTCACTCGCTCTTCTCGAATTCTTCAAAACCGACATCGCACGGGCACTCCCAAACTCGGTGAAAGAGAGTTTCTGTGCCCTGGTGGCACCTTGGGCACAACGTGTCAACCTCATATCCTAAAGCCGCCTGCCTTTCTCGAGTGAACTGTCTGCCCGAGACTGCAGCATTCTGGAGCCCTACTAGATCGTACGCTTCCTGAGCGAGAAAATTGCTAATTTCACGACCAGCCAAGACCACAGGGAGGGGGGAGAAGGGAGGAGGGAGGGAGGGGGGAGGGAGGGAGGGAGGAGACAGGAGGGAGGGAGGGAGGGAGGGAGGGCGGGAGGGAGAAGCGGCCGGGCGAGGCGCCTCCTTGGGTGGAGGGGTGGCAAGGACCTGGGCGCCCGCCGGCACCGTCGGCGCCCACAGCTCCTCGGCGGGGGAGGAGGAGGAGGAGGAGGAGGAGGAGGAGGAGGAGGAGGAGGAGGAGGAGGGCTTCGGGCTCGGGTGCCCAACTGCTGCCCCTGCCATCTCTGGTTGCTCTCCCCCCGCCCCCGCGC